ATACACATACACACATACACATACACACATACACACAACATACGACACATATATACATACAACAATTTATACAAACTCAAAACAAACTGAAAAATTAAGTATTATACAGTTAGTGCACTTTCCTTTACTTTCTTAGCACTGATTGAAGGATCATTTCCCCAATCAGTAAATCGTTTGATTGACTGATAATTTACTCATAAAATTGTTAATTAGCAGAGTAAAAAAATACGACGAGTAATTCAAGAAAAAACTAATAAAAAACAAAAAAACTACACAAGTCCGAGAACTAAACACAAAAATAATTTAACTCACATATTCAAAAGATGACAAAAAAAAGTGAACTCAAAGAAAATGCTAAATTGAAGCTTCTGACGACTGAAATTCAAAACCAAAGAGTCAGTAAAAAAATTGAATGATATTCACAAGGTGATAGATATAGCAGCATTGAATTGAGTTGCAATCAATTTGGTATCAATTCAGAATATACGTAAACGTGAAATACGTAAATGAATTCAAGTTAAAAGTAAGAATAATAAAATGAGGAAAAAAAATGAAACGCGAAGTGATGATATTTCGTGGCGGCTTGTACCAAATGAAACAAACTCGTTAATTATAAAGTGTTCAAAAACAAAAGCTGGACGAACTCATTGATTCTTGAACAGCTGCTTTCTCTCGCCAATTCGTTTTTTAAAATCGAAAAAAAAAATTTATAAAATATTTTTTAACACAAAAAGATGTGGAAGCTTCTTCTTTCAGTAAATGCCGGGCATATATTGCTATTCGTTGTGATGTTATAGCGGTGATATGATTATCATAATGATAACAATAATACAAATATGAAAAAATGGAATTTAAGAATTAGCTCTTTATATTATTTCACGTTTTTATTGATAATGTAGTTATAATGTAATTATAATAAATTATTTTATTGAATATGTAATTACATTTTCAGCTAAAGAAACACAAAAAACATTTTGTTAAATAAATAATTTGGAATAATAATCCCAATTCATTAATTTTATAATTATAATTTTTTGTTGCAGCTATGCGCATCAATTAATATTGTATTCCATCGTGTATTTCTCGCGTTTCGATTTTTCTTTTCTTTCTTTAAAATTTAAGATTTTTTGAAGATTAGAACAGAAAAGTGATAATTTAGCATCTAAGTGTTAACGATGAATATCAATTCCTAACAAACATTTGCTGCAAGTTTATTATGACTAAATCAATAAATTCCAATCTTTATAAAATCTAAAGTAGATGATCTATGATATGAAGTGGGGCAGTATCTTTCGTAAGTTAAATTCTTTTATTATTGGCTTACTTTTACTCTAATTTTTGTCTCCTCGTCATTTTTTAGATGTACAATATCATTTTTTATTTAAAATTTTGTCAGACAGTTTGATGTCATAGAGATAGTGTGGACTATCGTAGTAGAATGTACGTAGTCTACTCTTCTCTTAGATTTAAATTCAATTGCAGTAATGTTTTAATGATGTCGTCAAGTAAGAAATCAATAAAAGATAAGAATTATTACAACTGTAAGGGAAAATACTGAATGTTATTCAATTCTGATTTCGTATGTTTCTTCTTACGACATCTTTAATGACCATGTATGTGTCGGGTACTGCATGCAATGCAAGAGCGATAATGCTATCCGAATCAATTGGTAATTTATCGAGATTTACTTTTTTGCATATCGTATGCATTCGTAATTTATTGCATATACTTTGTACATTTCGCGTAATTATTGCACATTCATGGATGATATTGTGAATGATATTGGATAGGCCTGAAATATATATATTATATATTGGTTATCAGGCCTTTTTGTATGCTGCAAATTTTCTTTCATTCTTATAGTTCCCATAAGACTTAAATGGCACGAAGAAATCAAAAAGAAACGATGAAAAAGCTTTGAAGATGTTCAAATGCATACATTTTTTTAAAATCTTTCTTTATAAATATTTTATACCTTTGATAAATATTTTATAGCATTCGAAGAAAGATTTAAAAAGCTGAAATGATTATATCTAAAATAAAATATTACTAATTCCTATTTAAGATCATTATAATCATATTAGCGAGTTTAACAAATTATATATTTTGGTTGTTTACTCATTTTTAATTCTTTCAGATTAATTTTACTTGTAGAAAAGAAGCATATTATCTATAAATTATTGAAATTGTTTTGTTTGCTAAATTGATATTAACTATTATTGGCAACAAATTCATTATATTACAGACTCAATCAATAATGATAAAGATGAATCAAAGTTTGATCCATTCTTCATTTTCATCCTTTTTTCTCTAATTAATCAGTTAGCATGAAAATATATGATGCGTCCACAATTAATAAATTAGAGTTCAATAACAAATAGATAAATAAAAATAAAACTTATTCAACATTTCCAAAGATAAGGTGAACATTTCTCTTAATTAATCGAATTAAATAATCACATTACACAATAATTTTTTTTTTTGGAATAATAAGTTCAAAATTTGAAAAACCTCGCTTCTCAATTTCTCTATAATATTTTGGAAATTGAAAAGATTTCAGACGTTATTATTTCAGTACTATCGATTGTAATGAAATAAATTTACTGGTTGAGGGTCAAACTTTTAAAAATTATTTGATTATAATCTTGTAATAACAAGTAACTGGAAAATATTTTTCGGCAGCCAAATAGTCTTGCTAAAAATCAATGATCTGAATTGTTTTATTACCTCGAATATCAAGACAGTTGCTGTTTTCTTGCTTTGAATCAATAAAAATATTAAGGAATTCGATTGTATCTTGAATCTGGAAATTGGAATGTAATTCGAATTTTTTAAATTCTCAAAATTTAGACATTGCGCAAATAAAAAAAGTGAAGCGACTGTGAAATTTCACAATTTGAAAATACCATTCGAATTGTGAAAAATTGCTTTGAATCAATAAAAATGTTTTAAAATATTAAAATAAACGAAAAAACAAATTTTTGACCGTCCAACAATCCTACAACTTTTATGGCCCATTTTTCAACAATTAGAGACTGTGTAGGCCTAAATCTTTGGAGAATGCTTCCAATAAAACTTTACCATAATTCAAGATTGCATGTTTTTCTCATTATTTTTTTCTGTAAAGAACAAATCCATTACGAAAAGGAAATATTATGCACCTTAATTGTTTGAGGGCAATTTGAAAGCAATTCTCAGTCGAAAAATTTTTTTATTTGCGGAATTTTCAGATATCAGAGTTGGTCTCTAAAAACTGACATGTCTGAGGAAAATTTGAATCATGTTATGATGTTGGAAGAAAGAGAGTAAAAGATAATGATTTTAATAGTCTAAAAGAGTACTAATTTTGCTATAACAGCAAATAACTCACTTTCATCCGATCTATTTTAATGAGTTAACCATCCAGAAGAACTAATTGAATTTTGTAAAATCATTAAAAAGTGAAGATTTTCGATGTTATTAAGGATGTGCGCAAAAATCTCCTGCAGGTGATGTGTAAAGATCATGAAGAATGGATAAAGTTTTTGCAGACTGATTTGCTAAAAGTGAATGGAATGTTATTTACGAAGAGATTCAGAACCCAAAATGATCCATACATGATCACATTTACTATGTGAAATAAAAGAAAAGTAAAATCTTTTTAAAAAAAATTTACTTTTTTTAAAAGTAAAATTAAATTTAAATATTGGTTAATAAAACAAGATTTCTTGTAAATTGTTATTTAAAGAAAAATTTCACTCTCTGTTATCACTTTAATCATCAAATCATACTTTTTCTGTTAACTTTTGTAAAAAGATATTACGGAAAAATGATAGGTAAAGAGATGTACAAAAGTTTGTGGTTATTTTTCTGGTATACAGTACAAATCAGGTGCAATTCTCAGAAACGACGGAGAAGTTGAAAGGGATGAAGAATGAAAATGATTGTTAATTGTTTCATTCTCTGCCATTCCTGACACTCTGAGCGAAATAAATTCATTTTATGGGAAAATATTGATTACCTTAATATATCGGGACAAATAATTGTATGCTTCCAATGCAGTCACTGTATTATCATTATTTGAATCGGCGCATTTAAAAATGCTAAGATTTCTGGCATATGCAGTGAGTGCTTGCTTGGCGTCTTCGACATTTTGTATTTGAATTGAAGATGGATTAAAGATGTATTCTTTAAATTCATAATTTTTTGTTTCCTCCTAAAATCTTCGAATTTTGCAAATGTCAAAAATTTATGTAATTTCTTTAAAAAAATAATAGCATTTATATTTGATTTATTGAAAATTTTTTTTTAATTTTCAAAGTGTTATCCTGTCCTTCGATATGTTTATATTTTCTACCTCATCATCATAATGTGTTTCAATACCCATTTCATTAATAACATTTGCAAAATAGTCATCGTTATCAACTTCATCGTCGCTGCTACATATGTTTTTAGGAGCTAATAGGTTATTGACAACATTGCTAATTAGTCGTTCAAACTCTGAAAAGCAAAATTGTTTGAATCGAATAGAAAAAGAAAAAAGTCTTTTCTATTCCATCTTTGCAAAAAGAATTTGAAAAATTGCAAATTCATTACATTTAAATTTGAAAATTCATCATCCAAATTGGCTTGCCAAATATATTAATAATAACAAATTTTTTACATGAATTACCACATTTATTAGTAATAGTCTGTCACTTGTTTTTACTGAATTCTTTGAAATAGTGTGAATTGCAGTGTGAATTTGTCTCTCTTCTAATAACCCGTTATGTTAAAATTTATTAAAACGTTTCAGAAGAGAAAATCGTTACATTCAATAAAGAGTTTTTTCATGGAGTCACAAAAATTCGTTTCTTTCAGATGGTCAGATTGATTTTTCCCGGCCTATAATTTCGATCGTAAATCTTTAACTATACTATCATATTCAAACAGTTCGGTATTTGAAATATAAAAATATTATTGATGTCACTGTTTCATTATATAAAACAAATTTAATAAAATTACCTTGAAAATTAAGTCCATTACTACGATCAATGTGTTGTCTTTTAAATTGATCCAATAGTGCGAACGTCCGGTCAATTTTATATAATAATTTAGACATATTTACAAATTCAGATAAATCCAATCTATTATCCTGATTAACATCCATTTCCTGAAATTATTTCTTTAAATCATTTATTCATAACTTCAAAATGAATCAGAAAATGGGATATTATTTGAGAAAAGAGAATTCTAAAATATGTGGTCACTCTGGAATTAATTTTAAAATTATTTTTTCTGAATTCATGAAAACTCAATCTTATGAATTTAACACAGAAATTTCATAAATTTTCTAAATCACTATTTCTTATGACGATTTCTAATAATATTTCCTAAAATAATGA